TTTAAAGGTCCCAGGAGAAACTCATCCCACCCAGCAGGCAGGAGGTTCCAAGGGCCTGGGGCTTGAGACCCTGGACAACTGTCGAAAGGTAGAGTCTAGGGACAGGGAGAAGGTTACAGGGTCCCTAGTCCTGGTAGCCCCCACCAGGGTTTGACCAAGCTGGCATTCTTGTCCAGGCACATTCAGAGCTGTCCCAGGAGGTACGAAGACTGACCGGTCTGCTGGACCAGCATGGAATCCCCCACACTCAGCCCACAGGTCAGTCTGCCTACCCTGGTCGGCTGTCAGCCACCGTGGGGCCTGCAGCTATGGGGAGACAGATCCTCACATGACATCCGTTCTGGCAGAAACCGCCCACTCTAAGCACCTGGGTCAGCAGCTCCCCATAGGCACAACCTCCGAGCAGCTGCGGGGTGACCCAGGACTACGTGGGAACATCCTGTGATCCAGGTGGTCATGAAAGATAAAGAACAGAAACATCCTCAGCCTCAAGTGTCCTTTCATAGAGAGGTCAGGTGTGGTCTCAGCGGGGTGCACAAAACTGGTGTGGTGAAGACATGGCTTCTTTTGGCATCTTCTAGGCCAGGCAGGGTCACTGACAGATGCAGGGACCTGCTGGCCAGTCTTTGTTGTGCTCAGAGACCCAGACAGAATAAATTTCAAAGTTTTAATTAATCTCATACTGATAAAAAATAACTCCATGAATTCTGTAAACCATTGCATAAATGCTATAGTAAAAAAATTTAAACAAATGTTAACAACTTTAAACAATTCACTAAGTAAATGGGTATGTATTATAAATACGACCTTCTGGGTTAAGAAGATTCCATTCACATAACATTCTCAACTAGTTTCTGAAAACAAATGCACACAAAGGCTTCCATAAGTTAATCCACATGCGCATCCACACTGGGGGAAGGTCTGCCAACCAGGCACACAAAACTTTGACACCATTGTTTACTGTTAATAATAACACTAGAGAGTTAAAAGACAACAAGCAACAGGACCATAGTGAGCCTCAGTTTCTAGACCCATGGCCTCACCTCCATTACCCACAGATGGGCCTTAAACCCCTCTCTCCCCTCCTTGGCCCTTCCCACCCAGGGTAGATCCTAGGAGCCTTAGCTCACAGGTCTGGGATGGATGGGAGAAGTGGCCCCTTCTTTGGTCTTCCCCCTGCACACCTGTCCTCAGAGCCCAGCCTGATTCCAGAAGAGCAGATGCTCAGGAGAGCTCCCCTCATGGGCTGGGACCCAGTGGACACTGCCTCCTGCCTCCCCAGCCATCACACAGCCGTCCCATAGCCGCAGCCCTAGCCTGGAATGTTAGCCCAGGAGGAGTTTAACCAGAGTAGCTCACACACAATCTAAAGCTTAATGCCTGTAACTGTTACAACTTGAAAATGTCCAGATGAGATATCAATCACAAACACTGTCCTGTTACCACAGAGACCAAAGGCCAGTATGGGAAACAAGTGCATAAATATGATTAAAAAGAAACAATCTTAAACCATGGTAACAGTAGCACAAAATACACATGATCTAGGTACTGAGCTAAGAAATCATTATCACTATAATTAAAAACAAAACAGTTACTAAAACCAGGTCAATAGTTACCTTATTAAGTAGTGGGCTAGCTGCGGAATGTTGAGGATCCACTTCCTTTAAAGTGATAGAGCTTTTCTACCAGTTTGTCTTATATTAAAAAATGCTTTTAAATCTCCTACTATATTAAATACATTCTAATTTGGTCACTGATAAAAACATTTTACCTAGTCACTTTGCACTTAAAAAATGCTATTAAAAGTCTTTGGCAAAGCCATGGGAGAAGAGAACCACTTCTAGGCCTGGGCAGAACCCGCAGGTAGGATACCTGCCCTGCCTAGGTCTGCCACCAAGGGTAGGGGTTGCCTGGACAGATGTCTCCCCCTAGATTTCCAGGAACAGTCCCAGTCCTTATTGTAGGAGGCTGAAGTCATCACCCTAGACACATCCTCAGCAGAATTTTAGCCATGGGCCTGAGGCCAAGCTGTGAGGGGCGGGCACTGCCTTCGCCTTGGAAGCTGATGGGTGAGCTGCAGCAGAGCCGGGGTTGCTGGTCATGGGATGGATTCTGGTAATAACTGGATGCACAGCTCAGGTACCAGATGTTTGCTAAAACTGTCCCGGAATCTCTGGATCAGCCAGAGGTGAGTATGGTCACAGGGGCAGCAGACTGAAGTCCAGGTGCACAGTCCCTTAGTTCAGCACAAGCTAGGGTGCCCAGGCGACTCAGGGTCCACAGCACCGTTGCCATTACAGACAAGACATCAGAACACAGCTCCTTCCCGAGTAGATCTTGGACTCCTCTGAATGCCTGATTCCTTTGCTGCATTTTTCATTAGCATGAAATTGTCTTTCAAGGGAGAAGAAAAAAACCAAATGAACCAATTCCTTCACTTCTTTTGCAAGGCACAGGCACTTGGAAGTGGCCACGGATCACATAAGTGCATGACAGAGCTCTGGATATCACTCTGTGATACTGGAATATAAAACTCCATCTACATGTGCACCCGCACATGTTTAGGAAAATTAGTTCCTTTCATAAAATTAAGAACATCTAAATGTATATGTGTCTCTCAATAACCACTCTGCTTATAAATACTATTTGTTTGCACTTAATTTTAAAATGTAAAAATCCTAGGTCTTCTTCACTACTAGATAAATGTTCATTTCCTAAATAGTTTCAGAATATGAAATCTAACGTAGTTACCATTACTATGAGTTAACAACAAACTGATAGATAGGAAACTTCAAGTTCACAGTACACTTATAAAGCTTCATGTTATCGCATATTAAAAAACAGGGACCTAGAAAGCAGCTTATACAATTTATAATGTCTAAATTCCTCGGTTTACAAAGTGCTTTGACAAGGCCTGACCTCCCACTGGCCTGGCCACAGCAGTGTCAGGACTGGGGGCACCAAAAACATGCCACCTGCCCATTGGGACAGGCGGTGGGTTTGGTGGTGCTTCAGAGGTTTTCTGAGAATACCTTGACACCATTGGTAGGACATGGTAGGGAAGAAAAAGTGATTTGAAAGGCTGTTGGGCAGTGGGCATGAACTCACATCCTGGCGTGGGTGGTACTGGAGGCCAGTTTCGACACTGTAGTGGCACAGGGCATGCTGAGGCCTTTGCACTGCTCACCAGGGAAGGAATGGGTCTGGTTCTCATCACCATGGGAGGGGCTGGCCCTTGCAGTAGGGGCACTCAGGGGTACTGGCTGCACACAGCTCACATAAAACACGGTGCTGGCAGGGCCGAAGGACAGTGCCACGGGCCCTCTCCTGGCAGCCCACACACTGTTTGGCACGAAGTTGGAAGATCACCTGTGGGAAGAGGTGGTTGTTGAGAGTGTGGGGAGCCAAGAAGGCCCTGAGTGAATGTGTATAGTTGACATGGATATGACTATATCAAGGAAGGATAATGCCTCAGACCCATGGGAAACTGGCAAAGCCTTTCAATAGAGGTCAGGCTTGGGATTGGCAAAGCCTTCCTCTGGTCCAAGTTCGAGTGTTTAAAAACATTTGACCAGTGTGTGCAAAAAAGAGCAACTGCATGCAGCTTCCTCCTCGCAAATATTTCCTCCTCTGAGACTGCTCACCTATAGACTCCTCCCACCTAGACAAGCTAACTCCTCCTTGCTGCCTCCTCTGGGCTGTACGTAATAAACACGTTAAGGTTCCAGGTTGCTTTGGTAGTAGGCACAGCTCCATCAGAAGCATGCACAGCCCACCTGGCCCCAGCTATTCTGTGTCCACGTTCTGTTTCTTCAGTGTTTGTCTTTTCTTCACTCCCTTACTGCCCCTAGTCAGGTCAAGGCACCGGGCTGGCACAAGTCGTATCAAGTAAGGCCAAGCAAATGACTGTATCCCAGGACAGTGGGCCACCAGCTACAGCAGCAGTGCCATAGAAATCCTGAGTGTCAGGCCTGGGGTGGACACTTGGCAGGAGGTCCACAGGGAAGGGCAGTCAGCAGAAGACCCCCAGCCCCATCAGAGAGCTGGGTCTTGAAGCAGAGCCACTCTAGCCACAGGCAAGGCTGGCAGCTGGGTACCCACGAGTGCTAAGTGGGATCCCATGGCTGAGAGTAGCCCGAGCCCAGGGCACTGCATCTTGGAGACAAAGGACATGTGGTAGTTGGACCTTGGTTGTGGTCAATGGGACACATGCAAAAGGCACCAACCAGAGTCCAGGCAAGAAGCCAGGGAAGAGGAAGGAGAAGCACTATCTGGCCAGGTCTCAGGCCCTCACTAGCCAGTCCCCTTTGCCCTCCCCCCAAGTGACAGCAACTACTTGGCAGGACTCACCCCGTCCACGGCCTCTAGGTCCAGGCGCAGCTGGTTCTGCAGCGAATGCAGCTTGGGGAGAGGGATGTCGCTGATGTCCCCCAAGCTCCGCAGCCCTGGCAGTGAGGACAGACCCAGGCCCTCTAGTTCCTCCTGCAGCTGCTTCACCTGGGCCTCCACCTCCTCCTTCCTCTGCACGGCCAGCTGCCGGTCACTGTCCGCCACACGGGCTCTCTCCTTGGCCTCCTGAGCCTCTCTCTGCCAGGCATCACAGGCCTAAAACCCAAGATACCATGCAGAAGGCAGCCACGCCTGGCCTTCCACATGCTCACCTGCCTGTGTATCCAAACCCCTTTCTCCCCTCACCCGCAAGCCCGGCCCCTCCCTTCCCACATGCTCACCTGCCTGTGTATCCAAACCCCTTTCTCCCCTCACCCGCAAGCCCGGCCCCTCCCTTCCCACATGCTCACCTGCTTCACTTGCTGCCAAGACTCTTCCCACTGCCTGATCTTCCTTTTGGCTTCCTCTAGCTGTCGCCTGACCCGTGCCAGCTCAGCACTGTTTGGACTTGCACTTGAGGAAGCCGAAGGGCCAGAGTTCAGAATGGGGGATGGGCTAGGAGAGAAGCTGCCAGAAACAAAGTCCCAGATGCTCCCAGGGACGCCGTTCAAACCTGAGTTTAGGAGAGACAGGGATGATACAGTCCATGCTGCACCCAAGGCCTGAGGTGTCTGCAGGTGTTTCTGCCCCTCACCTGGCCACCCACCTTGGTACCCTGTAAGTCCCTTGTTCATGACTGCTCAAGACTCAGCTCCAAGACTGCCTCCCCTAAATGAGGCCCAGTTGGCTCAGGAAGATCAGAGTGTGAACAGAAAATAGGTTCAGAGTTCCTAGCCCTAACAGGCCCTCATTACATAGCAGACCCTGGAGGTTCAGAAGAGCTCTAGTTCTAAGGTTACCTCATGTATGTTAATTATCAGTTAAAATACATCTGGAGATGGGCACATTTCTAAATAGAACAGATGTGAACAGCCTCTTAATGGAAATAAGAGAGCAGAAGACAAGAGTCCTGCTGATCTGTCATACCAGCTCCCTCTCAGCCTGTATCATACAATGAATCCTAGATACTGTGCCTGTGGGGACCCCAAGGTAGCTCCATGTATGCCCCGCCCAGAGCCCTAAGTGAGCTGGCAAGCAAGAGGTTGTGATGTAGAGGAAGGCTGTGAGAATGCCCAGCTGTGGGTAACCAGATGTCCCAAGGTAACACGTCTACCATGTCTGTCCACTCATCTATGCCACGTAGGCTGGAGCAGGTGGTGCCTCTCAAGACACAGAACTATGGAGGTGAGAAGCCCTGCGGTCAGGAATCCCCAGGACTAGATTGGACAGGACCTGTTTGAGGGCCCAGAGCCGGCGGGGAGGGACCCACGCCCAGGCACGCACCTAAAGAGCTGTAAGATGAGGCTGCAGAGCCCAGCGTAGCCGGCTCCGACCGGAGGGGTGGTGGCTGCTGGGGGGGCGTCATAGCCGAGGAGACGAGTGGCCCCGACAGGGACTGGGAGAGCGAGCTGAGTGGGGAGGTGGACAGGGATGAGGACGAGTGCAAGGATGGCGAGCGGGGCAGGGAGCCCGGAATGGTGACGGGTGCTGAGCCTGCCAGCGACCTGGGACCTGGTGGGAGGAGGAGGCTGAGTGAACGAGGGCAGGCGGGGTTTCTGCCATAGAGCCACTTGCCAATAAGCCTGTAGGTCAGGAACTAGGCAGCTAGACACCAGGGAAACCTAGGGGCAGGGTCACCTCAGAAGACACCCGAGGAACCAGGCCAGCGAGCAAGGACCACCCAGAGGGGTGTAGTTGTCAGGACCCCCAACTCAGGAGAGCCCTGGTAGTGGTCCTGGCAGAGCCAGGAACTTGCCACTAGCATGGTACTCACAGAGCCACCAGGACTCTAAGATGGGTAGATTTCTTTTGAAACAGAGAAAATATCTTTCAGGATGAAGAAAATTATGTAATAACAGGAACTTCTCTCTGTGCCACACAGCCGTAAAAATAATTTCTTGTGTTTCCTCATTAGAGGTCCCAGGCAAGTCTAAAGGGTTGCTTTGTCACAACAGAGGTAAACTGAGGAAGCAGCAGGAAACTGAGCCACACAGGCAGGTAGCAGAGGCAAGAAGGTGACTCCAAGAAGAGGATCCCAGCAGAGGCCTCCCGCCCAACCCCTCCATTAAGCCAGGCAGCATGCACGAAGTTAAAGGTTCCACTGAGCTCAGTCAGCGCTCTCACCTGTCAATCCAAGGTCCTGCTCTTCCAAGTCTTTATCTAAGGACGCGATATTTATGTCACTAAGATGGAGATCTAATGCAGAACCTGTAAGATAAACCTGGTGTTACCCACTCACCTCTCACCCAGCAATGACACAAAACCTCTTAGGAGGAATCCCTGACCCCATATCCACCAACACCCACCTAGCTAGAGCCAAAGTGCCCCTGGCAACCCACTGCAGCACCTGCCTCTGCCTTCTCCTCCACAGCCAGAGTGCATCATCTGAACAGCCCTGGCTGCACTCAGAGACACAGCCCTGGCCCACAAACCTCCTCCTTCCTAGGTGTTGTTTTGTTTCGTTCTGTTGGTTTGCTTTTTGTTTCTTTGAGATAGGATCTCATGTAGCTCATGACTGTCTTCAACTCACTATGCGGCCAAGGGCAACCTGAACTTCTGATCCTCTTGTCCTCCACCTCCCAAGTTCTGGGATCATACAGGAATGTACCCGATGCCCACCTTTGTCTCCTTTACTTCTAACCACTTGTTAAAATTTGACCAAGAAAATACATTCAACTATTAAAAATTTTACAGGAGGTCAATTCCAACAGGCAAATGGTTCTGAGGCCATTTTAGGCTGAATACTAAGATAATGAACTCTGACACCTTGAGGACTTAAGAGAGACCAGGACCGCCACACTCAGGTCAAAAACAGTCTCCTTATCAAGGGCAGAGGTTGCTGGGTGTGATAGAATACACCTGGCATCCCAGTACTACAGAAGCTAAGGCAGGACAATCACAGTTGGAGGCCAATCTGGTCTACATAGTGAACTTCAGAAGGAGGAGGAGACCAGGACATGCCTCCAACTAGCACAGCCAGAACGGGGCTGCTGTTCAGGGACCATGTAGTAGGGACGTGTTGATGGCTGCACAGCCAGAGGGGAGGGGGGCAGGAATTGGCTGTAGGACTATGCCTGTGAGTGGTGTCGCATTCCCTTACAGTCATAGTCAAACATGCAGGGACCTGTGCTGAGAAGCAATGAGACTGCAGCTGCCATGGTGACTACTGTCTCTCCCACCCACTTTTCACTCTAACCTTCACAGTGCATCAGCACAGTCTATGCCCCACTGCTGGCCAAGCCCCCCCCCCCCCCAGTTCCCAAGAACTCTGAATTCAACTTCAAGATAACATACATACTGGGTATGGTGGCATATGCCTGTAATCCCAATAAAAAAGATGCCACAGGTCACCATAAACTTTCCCTGAAGGGCCTGGTCTTCTCCCCTTGCTGGATACAAAAGGCCTCTCTACGACGGGATGACAGTCCACAGGCTATAAGGAAACCTCTCTGTACCAGGTCAACATAAACTCTAGAAGCCACTGTCTGCCTCCAATTGTGTAGGATGTCACCACGTCCTCTGGGTCATGTCCATTAGGGACTTCAGGTGAACTGCTCAGTGACATATAGGTGGCCAGCATACCCTACTGCCCAAGGGTTAGTCGAGTCTCTACCTAGCACAGAACCAGACACGTCTCAGCCAGGGTGAGAATTCAGGGAACCATGTCTACCATGAAGCAAAGGAGGCACTGGGTGGCAGAGGCCAGTGCACAAGGTCAATTCAAGGGTAGCTGCAGCCGAGGAGTGGCCTGGAATGCAAATGACACCCTAATCAGTGAGAGACGGGGTGGCACTGCCACAGTCCCAGCTGCACCTCAGAGTTGTGGGGACCTGCATGGGGCACACCAGAGCCCAACCCCAGTCATACCCTCCTTTCCTGGTCTCTGATTCTCATCCTCAGCCTCATGGTGACCACCCGAGCAAACACAGAACACACCTCTCCTGATGACTGGTTCTCAGGGGCTCCATGAGGAGTGAGCCAGACGCTCCTAATTTCTGAGAGGAGCCTCGTGGCCGTGTGACACCCATTATACTGGCTCACGCCAGAGTGGATCGGCCTTTGGCTTACTTCTGTTGTTTCTAAATGTATCCCTAGAGCTGCTGGCACAACTGGACCCCAGCTCCCGCAGACCTAGCCATGTCCCTCACTACTGGAGCTGTGAAAGGAACTCCTCAGACAAGGGTCTCGAGGAATCTTCAGGGAACTGAGGCCAGGCTGCCAGAGCACCCCGTAGAAAATCTCCCCCCTTGTACCACGTGGTCACTCATTGCAGGGATCTCCACCCCTTGCAGGGATCTCCACCCCCAGGAGGCCCCAGATGGGAAAAATCTACAGGCAACCACTCTCAAATACAAGCCATTTCAATAAGGCTGCGGAGTGAGTGAGCAGGGTGGCGGGGCTGGCCAGGTCCTGAGACCTGGAACCCAGGGCTCCCGGCCTAGACATTGACACCATGGACCCCGACACTCAAGAACAGGGTTAATAAGAACCGCTCTCAATCAGGCCTCTTCACCCCATCCAATGAGGCTTAGGAAAGCAACAAGATACAGTGTAGGCACGATGGTGCTGCCCCAGCACCTACTTCTGTAACCCAATGTTCTCGGGCCACGGGACCCAGGCACTGGTGTGATGACTGTAGAGAATCATGACAAGGAAAGAAAAACCAAGTTGCCAGGGGAAACTCCACAATGAGAGTCCAAATGCAGAAGCAAATCAGGGCAAAGCAGGCCCCTGTCCCAGTGCTGATGAATGGCACAGGCCTCCTGCTGCACAGGTTTCCTGATTCCTGTGTGTCTCCCCATGTTGGACACCTGTCCCTGACTGAGCTTCTGAGGTCCTTCAGTACGTACCTCCTGTTATCTGAGCAACAGCTTGGGACAGAGAGATATGGGTTTCTGGGCTTTCAGCTGACCAGGGACCATGGGTATCCTGGGCTTGTGGGGACTGAGGACCCCTACTAGGTAGTTTCAGCTCAGGAGTTTATCGTCTTAGAGTCCTGAAGTTCAAAGTCGAAGTGTGCAGACCTGCCTGCACTCCTTCTACTAGCTTAGGGATTATTGCTCTACCTCCTGGGATGTCAGCTCTTCCTAGAGGTGTGGCTACATGGGCCCTGACCGCCTCCAATGCCACGATCCTGTTCTCTCTCGTGTGTCCATATTTCTTAGACGGACACCACCACTGCGCATCAGGACCTACTCTAACGACATCATCTTAACTTGACGACAAAGACCTCATTTCCAAATGAGGACACATTCACAGATGTATCCTCCAACGGTGGTAATCGAACCTGAGCCTCACAGTCTAGGCAAAGGTTCTACCACTGAACTATATTCCCAGTCTAGACGCATCTTTCTGGGGGGATACAAATCAACCCACAACAAAGGGATCCCACCTGGAGACACTCCCTTGCCATGTCTGCCCCATGGTCTCCAGACCCTGCTCTGCACTCACAGAACTGCCTGTCTCTCGCTGGGAACGCATGCCAAACTGGGTTCAGCGTGGTCAGGGCATCTGTGCCCAGGCCCTGCCCTGCTGCTGTTGTCTCTGCTCAGTCTCCTAGCCCTCTCGTTCTCATACCTCCTCAAGCCCCACTCTTCTCTCTGCCTTCTAGATCCTTCTGTCCAGCTCTGCCTCCTGCAAGGCACTTGTTTCTGCAGGGCTCCCTCATCCCTGCGGAGCCTGCACTCCTGCACCCCACTCACACAGCCTCCCTCTGGGGGCCTTGAAGCCTTTCCCAGCCTATATATAGTGGCTTCTGAAGCCCTATGGTAACAGGACCCCAGACCCTAGTAAGCCCCAAGATCTTAGCACAACTGATGCCATGACAGAGTGCCATTCAGGCCTTAAAACCCAGCACACAGGCAGCAAAATGAGAACAGAGCCCTAACACCATCTAAGTCCATAGTCTGGGAAAGTCCTCAAATGTACTAACCCCGCTTTCTGGCTTCTATAGTTCTGCTTCTGGCTAACTGTTCTTGCTAAATGAGATGTGTCAGCCCAGGATGTGGGTTTTGTGCTCAAAAGCTCACGCTGAGAAAGGCTTGGGACTGCACTTGGTCTCGAACACCCAGGGTAGTCTCCAGCTGGCCAGTAACGACTTTCTACTGACTCAAACCCACGTTGGAGTCATCTTCTCTGGTGGATCCTCACAACACTACCTACTCCCTTTCTCTGTGCCCTAAATGGCTATCCCCCAGCACCACATCCCACCCCTAGGATCTCATCTCTCAGTCTGCTGGGGAGGGCAGGGGTCTCCCAAGAGCAGACATGCTTCAGGGTCCCTTCTTCAATGACAACAAGCTAAGCACAGCTCTTTCTCTCTACCCCACACTAACTAAGACCCCAGAAGCTTTAGCAGCTCCTGCCATCCATCCTCTGGCCATTCTTGTAGCTGCCTCCCACTTGCAGGGACAATCCTGTCCTGTCCTGTACAGAGTTCTAGCTCCTCAAGCTTGAGACCCTGAGTGAGCTGGCCAAGGCTTCCTGGTGAGTCCTCCCTGGCCACTGCCCTTCCTCATCATAACCCACTGCTGAGCATGTCCCCCCAGTCCCAGATCTCACCAGCCCCCAAACCCTGTGTGCTGAACCACTACTCTGGACAGAGCTGGCAAAGCAGGAAGACCGAGGACACGCCCCATCCTTCCACACAGCAACCTGCCCTGTCCTGCCTCTGCTGGTCCCAGTGCAGAGGCCCCAACCCAGCCTTTACACCTAATCTGGAGCAGGGAGGCGACAGCCTGGAGAATTAAGTGAGGGACAGTCCCACTGCTCTTGCACCCCTGGCAATGTTGCAAAAACTCATTCGAAGAACCAAGGAGCAAAGAAAGGCATAGGAGTGGGAACGTGTGTTCCCTGGATGCTTCAATCTGGTCACGGTCTCTGTGGCTCAGCACAGAGTCCTAGGTGCAGAGGCAGCCTGGCACTACACAGCACATAGAGCTCAGAGGGGCCAAGCTGGGATGGGACCATAATGCAATCAGTCCCAAAGAGAAGCACAGGGGGTGAGCCACTGTCCTGGAGACCAGCAAAAGGTCAGCTAAAAGGGGCTACCTGGGGAGCCTCTGGGCCCTGTCAGCCCTATTTCAGAGCCAGGGGGCTCCCCAACTCTTTTGTTGTTTTTTCAAGACAGTTTCTGTATAGTTTTAGTGCCTGTCCTGGATCTTGCTCTGTAGCCCAGGCTGGCCTTGAACTCAGAGAGATCCGCCAGGCTCTGCCTCCCAGTGCTGGGATTAAAGGCATGCGCCACCACCGCCCAGCTTCCCCAACTCTTTTGAGTGCTGTTCAGGAGCCCATCCTACACCCTAGTCCACCAGGCTCTTCTCTCCAACCTCACCAACCCTAATATTCCCAATGATCAGACCGAGTACTTCTGAGTCATATACTTAAAGGAGGAACCAACTTAGGAAAAGGCAATCCAGGTGAGCCTCATTTCACAAACTACAAGTGTTGGAGGGCCAGTCTGTGTCGCCTAACTCAGAACTGGCTCCACCAAATGGCCTGAAGCCACCTGGACCTCAACAGCAACCAGCAGAGAGCTGCTGAGTATTGCCCCAGGTATCCCCAGTTCCCAATATGACACAGCACATTCAAAAGGTGCTGCAGTCCCCCAGGATCAGGGATACACGAAGTGACAGACCACACAGACTGCGGGAAGGAGCTGAAGGCAAGACAGGATGGGTGCCTTCCCTA